GGGGAGTTTTGGGGTTGTTAGAGAAGAGGCTGCCGCTGCTGCCATTTGGATGTTAGCGTTTTCCTTGCTGCTTTTTTATTTTATTTTTTTTCCGGGTTATGTGGTGTTGAGGTGGAGAAGCAGAAAAGGTGTAATACATATATACCTTCATGAGGTGAGGAGCAGTCAACATTTTTGCTTTTGTTTCTGCGATTATTCTATAACAAGAATATATATAAAAACAACAACAGTAAAATTATTTTTTCAATAATAAATTTTATTATTATAATTTTTTTACAGTATAGTTGTAATTGCTTATCAAATATTTTTTTATTAAAATATATATTATTAATATTTTTTATTTTTAAAAAATTATTTTTGATATTAATACATTAAAATAATTTAATAACATTAAAAACATATTAATTTAAAATAAAAAAATAAAAACATTTAAATTATTTTTAAAATATAAAAACAAACATCACAACAAAAACAAATATACACTAAGTTTTATCTCTTAAGAATTTGTTAAAATACTTGTAAAGAGAAATTTAATTAATAAAGCCACATGAGAGAAAATTGTTTAATTTTTTTTAATTTACCAATCTAAGTTTAAAAGAAGAACTATTAATTACCAAGCACTAATTTTATAAATACCTCTTCCAATTTATATGCACCGTAAAATAGTAACACAATATAATATAATATTTAAAGTACAATCAAGATGTGTGCTTTGTTCAAGAAACACTATAATATTTTGCAAGGCATGCATCCTTATCTACATGGATATATAAAACCCGGTCGGGTCTGGCATATTAATATATGATCCGGTTATCCGGGTTTATGGTTAAAATTTAAGTTTTCAATTCAAGTGATTTGTCGGGTCAACTTAAAATTTAAATAACCCGAAATAATCAAGATGAGTTTATTTTGAGTTTTACACAAAAAAAAAATATAAAAACAACCTTTTATTTATTATTTTAATGATAGAAGGAAAAGGATAAATGATGGCAGTTTTTCATTTAGTTTTTTAATAATATTTATTATTTATAAAATTATTTAAATGCAAGGTAAATGCTTGAATACAATTAATTTTATTTCGCCTTGTTTTTCATATTATTATTGTTGGGAGGCCTTTAGAAATTTATATGCATATAAAATAACTAATAATAAACTTTAACTATACTGTACCGTTATTATTTATTGAATAGTTTGATGAATTTAAATAATATGTTAATATATTTACCCATCTAAACATGAATATTCAATATAATTATTTATTTATTAAATTTATTTAAAAAATAAAATAAAACTTCTCAATGCTTATGCATTTTAAATTCTCAATTATTCTCCATTTTTTAAAATAGTAATATAAGTTAAATTATTATTTATTATGTCAATCAATAAATTTAAATGCCTAATAGAAATTTTTTTACAAATATACTTGTATATTTATTTAATATAATTACATATTTATATAAGAATTTTAGCTATTGAAATAAAATGAAAACTCTTCGTACATGTACAAATTAAATTTTTAATTACTCCTAATTTTTTTATTAAAAAACTAATATTATTGTCAAAATATGGTGTATTATATTAGACTACTAACCAAGGGTATGTAATTTATCATAACAAGAACATACAAAACATAAAGGATTATTTAAGATAAGCCTATAGCACATATAATTTTAAATCTATAAACATCCAAAATAAAATTCAAGATAAATATGATTTCAACCTTGAAAATAATAAAAAGAGTACTAGAATGTATACTAAACATATATTCAAATTTACAATGTATATAAGATCAAAATATATAGCGTGCATATTAATAATAAAAATAACAATGCTTAAATTAAGAAAAAAAAACTTACTTGTTTAAAGTGCAAGCACTTTAAACAAAAGAAACTTTTGTTGTTGTTGTTAATAATGAATCATTTGTTTTTAATATTTTATTGTTATTTACTTGTATAATTAAGATGTATGCAAAATACATCTCAATATTTTAACATCATCTCCTTAGTTTATATGTACTTATAAACAAAATTTTTGAACTAAAATAAAATAGAAATATCAAATATTTCTTAACAAAGTATTAACCTAAGCTTTAGATTTAGCAGAAAAAATCAAAGCATTAAAGAGAATGAAAATAATAAAAAGGAGATGAGAAATAGTGAAAAATTCTATAAAAAAAACAAGTTATAAATTCTTCTTTCACCTTATTTTTATAGTGAATTTAAAAACTAAAAGGTTGAAGAATTAATTCTTATCATTATCAAGTTTTTATTGGACATCATAAATTAAAAAAATAAATCTAAAAAAATCAAGGGTTATTTGAGTAGAAAAACCAAGAGTTCTTAAAAATTAATTTCTCATTTATTTAACTTATATTAACTAAAAAACTTTCAACAAATATAAATTATATCACTTGATTTTATTATTTTTTTTTACAAAGGGTTCAATTAAAAACTAACTAGTAAGGGTGTAAATGATACATAATTAAGCCTTATAGCATTATAAATTTTTAAACAACTTAAAAAGACTTTGATGTAAATTGATATTCATTCATTAGTTGATATTGATAGAGATGAAATAGAGAAGATATGAAACAAAAT